CACCCACCTGGGTGCCGCGCCCAGAAGGTGACTGGGCAGGTGGACAGAGGGCAGGGCAGCAGCTGGGCCTGGGCCGCAGCCCTGAGTGGAGAAAAGGGGCAGTGGCTTGGGTCCTCGCCCACCCTCCCTCCCTGACACGGCCCCAGATGCCTGGAGCCACCCCCTGGCATCCTCTGTCCTGTGGCCCAAGCCCAGCCCCCTCCCAAGCTGGTAGGAGCTAGAGGGCAGCTGCAGCCTGGCCCAGGGTCACTGCCCGCCCACTGGGGACCTCCTGCTGCCCCTGTGCCTGAGGACCACGCAGCTGTGGCCCCTGGGTTTCCAGTGGAGCGGGGGTGGGCGCGGCCTAGTAGTTGGCCCTTTGGTGCCCGCAACCCCTCTCCTGCCTTGGGGACCAGCGGGGGCAAAGGTCGAGGTCAGAGAGCACCTGTGGATTCCGGCGCCCAGGGACCCTGGCATCTTGGGAGCTGGGGGTGGGGACCCGGCAGAAGCTGGCCCGGGGCCCTGGGGCCCTTTGTGGGGTGGGGCCGGGAGGGAGAAGTGGTCGCCCCACCTCCCCCTCCCCGCCTCTGGGGTTTTCCGTCGGGCTTCCCGGGGCTTCCCAGGGGGGCGGGCGTGGGGGGGGGGTCTGTGGGGAGGGACCTGAGGGTGGGGTCTGGGCCCTGACCCTGCGGCTCCACTGGGTGTGGAGGGCGGGGCCCTGCATGCTGCAGGAGGGGCCCCTTCTGTCTGCCCCACTCCGCCCTGAGGCACCCTGCGGTCATCTGCTCCTGTCCGCCCCACCCTGTGCCATTACTGAAGACCTGCCAAGGCCCAGAACAGCCCTCCTAGGGGCACGATGGGCTGCAGTGGTCTACATGCAGGTGCGGGGGGCACCAGCCGTGCCAGCGGTCCTCTGGCTTCGCCCCACAGAGGCAGCCCCGCCCGCCGCCCTGGGCCTCTGGAGCCCCTCCCGTTCAGACCCCTCCTCCCGAGCTGTGACTCCCCCTCTCCAACCCCCTCCCTTGGCTGCCAGCAGCCCCCAGGCTTCGCGGGCTCTCTGCGTCCCCTGCTCCTCCGCCCTCCTCCTGTAATCCCATGGCCCCAGCCGGGTGCCACGGTGGCTGGAGCTCCACGGCCAAGTGCAAAGTGGGGCCCAGGCCTGGCCGTTCCCGTGGGGGGCAGTGGCGGGGCGGGGGACCCTCCCTCCTTGCCTCCCTCCCCTGGCCTGGCCCTCCTCCTTCTGCCGGGGTCCCTCCCCTCCTCGCTGCCCGCCCCACACCCGGGCCCATCCCACCATGGGGCCGGCCCATCCCACACCCAGCTGCACCAACGCCAGTTCTCACGTCTGACGGGCTTCTCAAATCCCATATTTCAAAAACGAGTTTCCTCCCTGAACCCTTGCCCGCCAGACCCCGTCACAGGAAACATCTCCTCCATCGGCCCAGGGGCTACAGTTACACTTTAAGGTCCATCTTGGATTTCTCCTTCCCTCAAGGTCAAGGGTCCCCTGCCCTGCCAGCTCTACCTCCAAAGTACACCCCAAAGCGGCCCCGTCCCGTTCTCCATCTCCGTGGGGATGGTCCAGGCCACCACCCCTCCCACGTGGGCTCAGCTGTTTCCTCTGCACCCACCTGCTCCCACCAGGAGCCAGACGGACCTCCACCCCCGCCATGGGTCCCTGCACCTCGGATCTGAGCCCAGCCTGACCCCCAGCCACCCAAGCCCGCTCTGTCTATCCGTGAGCTCCCCGGAACCTCTGCTGGACACTCTCGCAGGCCTTGTGGAGCTGCCTTTCCTCCTGACTGGGAGCCAGGTGTCCCCGTGTCCCCCGGGGGGCCCGGCCACTGCCCCTGAGAGGCCCATGAGCCCTCACGCCAGGCTACTGGGTGCTCAGCAGTCACCACCACCTAATCTTGCTTCAGGTGCGTTTCTGCAGGTCCCTGCTGTGGCCACACCTGGAGGAGTGCACACGGCAGGTGCTCCCCAGCCGTCCCAGCGGGCCGGCCGCCAGTCTCGCACCGGGGGACCTCCCGGGACGCGGGCACACTCTGTGGGCAGGTGCTGCCGGATGGGACGCCTCCCAGGGACAGTGAAAGTTCCGGGACACCACCACTTCTGAGCTGCCTCCCGGCCCCGCGGCTCCTTCCCGCCCAGGATGAGCTTGGTACCTGCGGCGTTTCCTTAGCGGGACATCCACACAAGCGCGGACGCCGCCCTGGGTGACTAATCGGGGTCTGTGAACGCAGGAGGGGCTCTCGGACTGCCCCCCACCACGTGGCTCCTCGGAGAGGGACAGGTCACAGGTGCGTCAGCGCCCCTGCCCCTCAGGCTCCTGGCAGACGTTTCCCAGAGCGGCGCTGCGGGGTCAGGCCACCACCTCGTGGGGATCCCAGGCCCCCAGGCCCCCACCACCGACCGCCCCGGGACGGATTCCCTGGCCTGTGCTGGGGTGGGAACAGCTAGTGCCCACCGAGGGGAACCAGGGCAAGAGGAGAGCCTGGGGGGCAGGGCTCACCTGGGAACAGGAGAGGCCGCATTCCGCGACCCTGGGGACGGCCAGGCTCCGGTAAGCGCTCCAGGTCAGGGAGAGGAAGGCGAGGGCTCGCCCAGCCAGCATCTGGACGCGAAGTGACGGCCGGGCAAGGCTAGCAGGATGCCCGTGGCTGCGCCTCGCCCTCTGGCCGCAGCTCAGCCCCGAGACAAGCAGGAGAGAGTCCGCTCCCAGGGGCGGGTGCTGCCCCTCCCGGTGGGCCGGGCACAGCCCGCAGCCTGCAGCTTCCTCCTGCAGGCTCACACTGGCCAGACGCCCTGCTGTTTCCAGGCTGTCAAAGGAGACATCCTGGAACTTTGAGGCTCTGGGGTCTCAGGTAACCGCGTTCCCCTGGGGCTGGCTGCGCGCCTGTGTGATCAGGGAGCCGCCTGCCTCCCCCACGGCTCCCGGGTGTCCCCCTGTCTCTCAGGCCCCCGTCCCGTGGTTGGGGGATGGAAGGTGGTCAGGGGCGCTGGTCGTCGAGCTCAGCGGGGCTGGCAGAGGGGTGGGATCCATCCCAGGCGCCTGTCCCCCCAGGGCCGCTGGCGCCAGCCCCAACTCCTGCAAGCCTGGGGACACCCCGAGTGCCCCCGTCACCCATCTGTATGTGAGAGGCTGCCCCCCCTTTGCTGAGCCCTTGCCTAGATATCCCTCACCCCAGAGGGCAGCGCCCCGTGGCCTGTAACTCTGGGGCCTGGCTTCTGCTGGCGGCGGAGCTCTGCTCCTTCCCGTTCGGATCTTCCTGGACAGGGGAGACGTCTCCGGGCAGCGGCTCCCAGCACCCTGTCCGGCCCCAGAAGCCAAGGTGTGGCTCTGGGGCCCTTTGGTATCCTCCCTGTGTCCAGCCCTCTTCCTGCACCCTCTGGGCAGGTGTAAGCACCTCCGGCCTGGGAGGGCACTGTCCCATGAAGGGGGCATGGAAAAGGGTGTACGGCTGGAGAGTTGGGGACCCCCCGCCCCCGTTGTGCTGGCCCCGGGGGCTTGGGCTCTGCTTGAAACCACAACAGGGCACCCCAAGTGTGGAGAGGAGCTGACCTGGAGCTGACCCCAGGCTGGCACCCTGGGCAGGCGGGCCCCTGGGGCGGCCCCAGTGCAGACACAGCTGCCCTGGCTGCCGGCCCGTCTCTTGCACCCTTGTCTGACCGGAGTGCTCCGTGAAGTGGGCTCAGGCCCAAGGCAGGAACGAACTTGGGAAACATCTGATGGAGCTTCAGCACCAGAGGATGGGACCCACAGGCAGACAGCACCCAAGACCATGGGCCCCACACCCCACCCCCGCCCAGGCACCAGAGCCCATGGCCCAGCCTCCCTCACTCCGGGCCTGCACCTCACCGCTGCTCCCACCAGGCCCAGAGCACGCGTGGGCACCGCGGGGCTCTGGGCACCACCCCTCACTCTGCCGTGTCACTGAGGCAGAGCTGATGGGGATGGCGCATGCCCGGCAGCGCTCACCTGTGGGCCTGGCCTGGGGTGCGGTCAGCCACAGGCTCGCGTGTTTCAGGGTGGCCAGGAAGTCCAGGCACTAGTCCTCCTGCCGCCCCTGCTCTGCCCCCCCCCGAGTTGAGTTGCAGGAGGTCCCTGGGCCCCTAGGTCAGCCAGGTGGCGTAAGTCGGGAGAGGACGTGCTGCCGGAGCTCAGGCTGCGCGGCCCGGCGCTGCCCTCCACCACAACCTGCTTTATTATCACCCACGGGACAGGTGGGGACTGCCGCACTCAGTGACTCTCCCCAGAGCGGCACAGAGGCCCCATGTGGCCCGGTAGGCACCGCAGTGGCCCTCTCTCCAGGGCCGCCCCAGGACGGGCCCACCCACCAGGTGACACACCTGGTGTGCTGAACACGCCATCCCGGTGCCAAGGGGATGCAGGTGATCGGATGTGGACGGCAAATCCAACCACATGACTTCATGGGGAAGAACCATGGTGGGGACAGGCCCCTGACCCCTGGGGCTCCTGTCTTGTCTCTGAGGGCTGGGGGCTGCAGATCCCCCCCGATGTCCACAAAGAACTGGCCCTCGAGACCCCTCGCAGGCCCCCTGTCCCCTGTAGGCTCAGGTGGTTGGAACACCCCAGCCTGAGCCCAGAGAGGCTGCAGGGGCTCCCCCACCTCTGGTCTCCATAGCCTGCATGGCCCACTGAGAGCCAGAGGCCCGAAAGTCCACCTGCGGTACAATCTGAGGGGATCTGACCCAGTGCAGGGACCCCCTTCACCCCCTCGCTCAGCCCAGGTTGAAAGGAGGCTCTTGGGTGCAAAGAACCTGGACCAGCACAGCCAGACTTTTGTTGAATCAATGAGTGAACAAGGGGCCGCTGGGTAGCCGGCCGGGGCCCTCCAGCAAGGAGGGAGGGGCTCCAGAGGAGGGGTGTCTTGCGGGGGAGCCCACACACCAGGAGGCTCTCATTCTCACATGCCCAGGGCAGGGGTGTGGGTTGAGGGGTGCCGGTTGCGGGGTGAGGAGAGACGTGTGGGTTTGGGGACACGGGTGTGTGGGTATGGCACGTGGGATGCAGGGCGAGGGGCCTGGGATGTGGGTGGGCATGGGGTGCAGGCACTGGGAGAGGGTGGGGACTGAGGCTCCACAAGAAATACCATGGTGAAGACTGCACAACTTCGCTAAAATAGCTCTGTGTACAAGGTCCCTCATCTATGTCTAGGTTTCCAGAGAAGCACGCCACGCACTGGAGGCCGTGGGGCCTGGGCCTTGGTGTCACGGGGTGCACAGGCCGCCGCCCGGCCCGTTGCCGAGGGGCACGACGGAGGCACCCTGCAGGATGGCGTTTGCAGGGACCGGCGGGCGGCAGCGAGCCACGGCACACTAGGCACGGCGCTGGGAGGGCCCTTGGCAGCCCTGGGGGAGAGGGAGAGAGAGAAGGGCCCTGAGACGGTGCCCACCCGCCCGGAAACCGCGTCCACGGCCCCAGCCCACGCCCACCTGCCCCAGACCACGCCCACCTGTGCAGACAGAGCCCACCTGCCCCAGACCACGCCCACTGAGGCCACCCACCAGCCCACAGACTGCATCCATCAGTGCATGAAATCATGTCCACCACCCCAGACCAGGCCCATTGGTACCCAAAACCATGCCTGCTGCCCCAAGACCTCGTTCTGGTCACGTTCACTGGTCCCTGAGACGGTGCTCCCTCCAGCACGCCCACCTCGGGCTCGCCCACCCTGCGGTGGCCCTCCCCCCTGCAAGGCGTGCACCTGGATGGCAGTTCCGTCCCAGCTGGCTCCCAAGCCTACCTGATCCCACACAGAGCCCACCCGGCTTTCCCCAGCTCTCAGAAAAGCCCAGACCTCCACTCAAAGCCGAGCGTTGAGGTCTCCTTGGCCCTGCTTATCTTTCTCCACCCCCAAGGGTGCGCAATCCCAGGCAGGGGGAATGAGCACACCCTGGGCAGTGGGCCTGGGCCCAGGGCAGTGCCCAGCCAGCAATGGCTCAGCCCAGGAATGCCATGGGCTGAGACACCACGCCTGGCAGAGCCACCCGCTGCCAGTGCCCTGGGCTGAGTCACTCCTGCCCGGGGTCCGGGAGGGTCTGGGTGGGGTGGGCAGGAGTGGGGGCCACCCGGCGCCTATGCAAAGCAGCCCACAGCTTCCTGGACCCTTGAGCGGAGGCTGAGCCAGAGCCCAGGAGTGGGGCCTTCCCCGGGTCCTGGGGCCAGCCTGACCCGCAGGACACGCCAGGGCCTGCGTGGCATATGAGGGTGTAGGAGACCGGAGGCCTGGGCACAGGGTGGGGAGGCCAAATCTTCAGGGGTGAGCAGGCTCTGTCGCCAAGGGGGCAGCTCTGCCGGCAGTGCTTTGCCCTCCAATGCACCCCAGGCCTAAACAGGCCTAGCGTAGGGCTGGACGGGGACAGAGCCCTGGGCCCGCTCCAAGCTGAGGAAGGGCCAGGCCCCTGCGGCAGAGGGGTGGCATGAGGCAGGCAGGAGGGGCTGAGCCATCCGTTTAGGGGTTGGCGTGAAGGGCTGAGAAGCAGGAGAGCCATGCATCGTGGGGGTGAAGGAGGAGGGGGTGAGGCCTAAGGTGCACCGGGGACGGGGCACATCACCAAAGCGGATGGGGTGTCCGTTCAGGAATTGGTGCTCTGGGATCCAGACCAGCCCTTCTGGGGAAAAGCACCAAGCCTGAGTATAGAACATGAAAAACATCTTAGAAGCAACGAGAACTGGCAAAAAGCAAGGGGTGATCAGGTCGCGGCTGCGGGGAAGCCCTTCCTTCAGAGGCTTTGCGGACCAGCACCCCTCGAGGCTCGAGTTGCCAAGGCTTTAGGGGTGCGGGGGCAGAAGACCACCCCCAAGAGGGGTGAGAGACACCCCACCCCTCAAAGAAGCAGCAAGCCCAAAAGGTTACACCCCGGGTGCACGGGTGAGCCCAAAACACACCTTCCCTGCCCCAGGGAGTGCGAGGCGTGTTCTTGGTGCTGAGCAATGTGGGTGGAAATCCCAGAGAAATTGGAGTCCCGAGCTAGTCCCCAACAGGTCTGAGTGACGACTTCTTACCCCTGGGCTGCAGGCATGGTGGGGAGGGCACAAAGCATCAAGCTATGAATTTAGAGCCACGCGGGCAGCTTTCCTCGGGAGGCGGGAGATGAGGGGCCTGGGGCAAACACCACCCTCCGAGGGGCTCACCTGCATTCTGGAAGGAGTGCAAATAATCCCCACAACTAATGTTTGAAAGAAACTGATCCGTCTCTAATAAAATGTGAGAGTGCCGGCCGAAACCGCAGCACAGACATGACCAAAGACTTCACCTGTTAGAATTATCAGACACAGAATATAAGCTAACTGTGTAATGTCATACAATTTAGAGGTTTTAGGCAAAGGAAAGGAACTATAAAGAATAACCAACTTTATTGAAAAGTAGAGTTTCTAAAAAATGAAACTATAATAACTAAAGTTAAAGTTTCAATGGATGGGATTCATAGGGCTCTAGACACTGTTAAGGACAGCATGAACGGGAAGACAAATGAGGAGACTGTGCCGATGGCAGCACAGACGTTGAACGGGAGTGATACGGGCTGAGGGGCAGCGAAGGTGTGAGCAACGTCACACCTGAGCTCCAAAGGCCAGGACGGAGAGGATGGGGTGGAGGCAATACATAAAGTGAGAGGCTGGAAGTTTCTCATAAACGATTAATGACACGAGTGGGAGAGTAAAGATGTCCAAAGATTCCCAGTTTGAATAAATAAAAATAAAATCCCACACCCAGACCTGTCTTACTAAAACAGTCGCAAATGGCGCCCGCAGTTAAGACAGCTCACTTTTGGAAAGCCGCGGACTTGGCTGAGCATCTCTGAGCGCAGCAGTGAAAGCCAAGACAGCAGAAAGATGCTGCGAGAAAACGGCAGGACTCCCACGGCAGAGAGCCCGTCGCTCTCAAGATAAGTGTGCAAAAGAGAAAATAAAGAAGAGCTCCCGTATTGGAAGACTGAGATGCGGGGAGGGTGCAGGCAGAAGAGCGAGGTGCGTGGTCTGAACACACGATGCTCACGTCTAGTGTCTCCAAGACTGAAGGTCACTGTATTGTCTGGGTGCGGGTAAAAGTATGATTTTCTCGCACTGTGGACATTGATAAGCTCAGTGAGCAACGAGCAATTTCTAGGCAGCCACTAAAAGGCCAGGGACAGAGTGTGTAACCTCCAACGAGAAGAAGGAAAAAGCGAAATGACAAAACAGTTACTGACAATAAGGTCAGAACAAAGAGAAAGCGGGGCCTGAGAGGGAGGAGAACAGACAGAAATCAAACGCAATCAGATGAGAGGTGCTGTGTTCGTAAGGCCCCAAGACGCCCCACGGGCGGGCCCCTCCCGCGTCATATCAGGACAGGCTGCGTGGCCGGCAGAACACGGCGGAGGTGATGGAGCCTGACTTCTCAGGCCGGGCCACAGAAGCGTGTCTCCAGGGGTGGGTCCTGAACCCCTTGTTCTGAGGACGCTCTGCCCGCGGTGAGGTCGCTCAGGCAGCCCCCTGGAGGGTCCACATGGGGAGGAGGTGAGGCCTCCACCCCTCACCGTGTGCGTGAGCCGCCACGGGAGTGGGTCCTCTGCCAACGTCTTGCCTGCAGCTTGTGAGACCTTGAGCCAGTACCTCAAGGTTAAGGCCCTGTTGGGTCCCTGACCCTCAGAAATATGTGGGATAACAGGTATTTGTTGTCTGGAGCAATCTGTTGTGCAGAATCCATGTATCTGTGTGTATATATGACCACACAAAATGCAAGTGTTAAATGCGCTGTTTAAAAGAGGGTGGTCAATCTGAATTTAAATTTTGGCTGCTCTCGCCTTCTGAGACGGACCACACTCTGTCTATGCAGTGTGCATCTCCCTGAATAAACCCACTTTCACTTTAAAGCAAGAAAAAATCACATTTTACGCAGAGGAATATCTAAAACGTAAGATTAGAGAATGACTGAAAGGAAAAGATATACTAGGAAAATTCTAACCAAAATAAAACAGAGGCTGAAGAAATATAAAGTAAAAATTGGCAGGATTATAAGAAGGTGATGCATCCCAAAGATTGTTACCCTACTTGGCTTGGTAATTGATGGGATGCACAGACAAGAAATATCAGAAAGATATAAAAGATCTGAAAGACACAATACACAAGCTCAACCCCACTTCTGACACCCAGTAATCGTGGAACACACAGTATTTTCAGGCACCATGAGCACTGACAACATGAAGTAACTCAGAGCAAGTGTCTGGGTGTTGAAGTAACACCGCTCCAATCAAATATGATTCTGCTAACAAGAAAATACAAGCTAATTGCAAAATCTGATGCAAATGTATTTATAGGAGACCAATTTCTAAATAACTTAGAGATCAAAGAAATAACTGTAATGAAAATTAGAAAATACCGATCTGAATAATACCCAAAATACTGCATTTCAAACGTTTTCAGATGCAGTTAAAGTAGAAAATAAAGGGAAATTGTCATCCTTAAATGTACGTATTGAAAAGAAGAAATGCTGAAAGTTAAGAACCAACCATCTAGCTCAAGACGTTAGAAAAAGAACAAACCCAAATAACAAATGTAAGAGCAAAAGTGAACAAATAGGAAGTTGAACAAAGCCTAAGCCTGGTTCTCTGAGAAGCTGGATAAAGTGACAGACGGTGGTGAGACTGAGGGCGGCGGGGGCCGGGTGGGGGGAGGGGGCAATATTAGGAGTAAAAGCGAGACGTCATCTCTCATTCTGCAGACGTTAGAAAGATAATGAAGGAAGACAAGGTCCGCTTCCCATTCCTGCATCAGTTGGTGCCACTCACATGAACAGAATAATACGACCATCTCATTAGATTCAGGGGAAACAGTGGAGAAATTCTATGTCATTCATGATAAACAGAGAAAAGAAAACACCTCTCAGCAAGCAAGGAATAGCGGAATGTCCTCGATCTGAGAGCGTGTATTTGTGGAAACCTTACAGCTGACTCCTGCCCCGCTCCCTCCCGAGGTTCCGGCTAGTGCAGTGAGGCAGGAACAGGGACAAGGCGGAGAGACCAGAAAGAAAGGAGGATACACGTCATTCGAGGTGATGGGATTGCATAGAAAATCCAAGGCATCTACAAACTAGTGGGACGCGGAGGTCAACTCGCCAGCGCTGTGGGCTACAGGGTCAGCGTGCAAAAGCCATGGGGATATTCTACACATCAGCACAAATAAGTGGAAAATAAAATTTAAAACACCATTTATATCACTCATATGTGGACTCTTAAAAAAATAAGTCAAACTCGGGGCTTCCCTGGTGGCGCAGTGGTTGAGAGTCCGCGTGCCAATGCCGGGGACACGGGTTCGTGCCCCGGTCCGGGAAGATCCCACGTGCTGCAGAGCGGCTGGGCCCGTGAGCCGT